AGTTACGCATTGCTTGGAGAGCATAGGATGCCTGGGGAGTAGGGATGCCTGGAGACACAGGCAACTGCAGAGTATAGGTAACTGGGCTCAGGTACTGGGGAGTATAGATGCACTGGAGAGAGAGGCACTGCAGAGAGGCAACATAGTACCGGGGAATATAGATGCACTGGAGGCAGGTACTGGAGAGTATAGTACCGGGAGACAGGTACCGTATATAGATGCTGGAGAGCAGGTACTGGGAAGTAGGTGACTGGAGAGAGGGCACCGGGGAGTATAGATGCCTGGAGAGTATAGATGCCTGGGGAGTAGGGATGCCTGGAGACTATAGGTACTGCAGAGTATAGGTACTGGGACCATAGGTACTGGGGAGATGATGCACTGGAGAGCAGGCACTGCAGAGTAAGGGTACCGGGGACTATAGGTAACTGGGGGAGTATAGATGCCTGGAGAGTATAGGTAACTGCAGAGTATAGGTAACTGGGGAGTATAGGCAATTGGGGAGTATAGATGCACTGGAGAGTATAGGCACTGGGAGTATAGGTAACTGGGGAGTATAGATGCACTGGAGAGTATAGGTAACTGGAGAGTATAGGTAATTGGGGACTATAGGTAACTGGGGAGTAGATGCACTGGAGAGTAGGTACTGCAGAGTATAGGTACTGGGGACCAGGTACTGGGAGTAAGATGCACTGGAGAGTAGTACTGGGGGAGTATAGGTAACTGGGGAGAATAGATGCTGGAGAGTATAGGTACTGGGGAGTATAGGTACTGGGGAGTATAGACAGCTGAGTATAGATACTGGGGAGTAGGGATGCCTGGAGACTATAGGTACTGCAGGGGTACTGGGGAGTATAGGTACCTGGGGAGTATAGATGCACTGGAGAGTATAGGTACCACAGAGGCAGGCACTGGGACTATAGGCACCGGGGGAGCAGATGCACTGGAGAGCATAGGCACTGCAGAGCAGGTAACTGGGGACCATAGGTACCTGGGGAGAGTAAGATACGGGAGAGTAGTATTGGGAGTATAGGTAACTGGGGAGTAGCAGACAAGCCTGGAGCATAGGTACTGGGGAGTATAGTACCGGGGAGCAGAGGCCCGGGAGAGTAGCAGACACCGGGCAGTAAAGATGCCTGGAGAGGCAAGTACCGGGAGAGGCAGGTACCGTGGCAGGTACGTGGCAGGTACCGAGGCAGGATGCCTGGAGAGGCAGGTGTACTGAGAGCAGGTACTGGAGAGGCAGGTACCGGGGAGAGATGCTGCAGGCACTGGAGAGAGCAGGGTACTGAGGAACAGGCACTGGGGTGGCACTGGGGAGCAGATGCTGGAGAGCATATGTAACTGGAGAGTATAGGCACTGGGGAGTATAGGCAATCAAGTGGCAGATGCTTGGAGAGTATAGATACCGGGGAGTACAGGCAACTGGAGTATAGGTAACTGGGGAGCATAGATGCCAGGGAGAGTATAGGTAAATTGGGGAGAGAAAATGGGGTAGCAGAGTGCCTGGAGAGTATAGACACTGGGGAGTAAAGATGCCTGGAGAGTGGGGTACCGGGAGAGTAGAACTGTATATAGGTAACTGGGGAGTATAGGTACTGGGGAGTATAGGTACTGGGAGTATAGGTACTGGGGAGTATAGATGCCAGAGAGAGATAGGTACTGGGGAGTATAGGTACTGGGGAGTAGGTACTGGGGAGTAGGGTACTGGGAGTATAGATACTGGGGAGTAGGTAGGCACTGGGAGTATAGGTAACTGGGAAGAAATGGGGAGTATAGGTAACTGGGGAGGAGACATAGAGGTAAATGGAGAGTATAGGGTAGAGCATAGGTAATGAGAGCATAGGCAATCAGAGCATAGGTAATCAAGAGCAAAGATGCACTGGAGAGCATAGGCAACTGAGGAGAGTAGGTAACTGGGAGTATAGGTAATCATGGCAGATGCTGGGAGAGTATAGATACTGGGAGTAAAGATAGAACTGGGGAGAAGGTAACCTGGGAGTAGTAGTAAACTGGGAGTACAGATGCCAGGGAGAGAATATATACTGGGGAGTAAACATGGAGAGTATAGATACCGGGGAGAGGCAGGTACTGGGGAGTATAGGTACTGGGAGAATAGGATGCTGGGAGAGCAGGGTACTGGGAGCGTAGGTACTGGGAGTATAGATGCCTGGAGAGTTTAGGCACTGGGGAGTAGGCGTGCCTGGAGGAGAAAATACTGGGGAGCAGGACAAATGGAGTATAGGTAACTGGGGTAGCAGGCAACTGGGGAGCAGAATAAGGCAGATGCCTGGCGGTGGAACAGAGTATAGATGCCTGGAGAGTATAGGCAACTAGGAGTATAGGTAACTGGGGAGTAAAGATGCCTGGAACAGGTAACTGGAGAGTATAGGCAATCAGAGCAAGTAGGTAACTGGGGAGTATAGATGCAGGGAGTATAGGTACTGGGGAGTATAGGTAACTGGGGAGTATAGATTGTAGCAGGGTACTGGGGAGTATAGGTAACTGGGGAGTATAGAGGCTCGGGAGAGTAGGGATACTGGGCAGTAAAGATGCTCGGAGAGCAGGGTACTGGAGAGTATAGGTACTGGGGAGAGTAGGCACCGGGGAGCAGGTAACTGTGAGTGGGATGCCTGGAGAGTATATGTAACCGAGAGCAGGTACTGGGAGTAACTGTGAGCAGGTACCGTATATAGATGCCTGGAGACATAGGCAACTGGGGAGTATAGATGCCTGGAGAGAAACTAGGAGTGGCAGGTGGGGAGGGTAAAGATGCCTGGATACAGGGGCACCAGGCAGGTAACTGGGGAAGTATAGGTACCGGAGTATAGATGTAGTGGGAGAGTATAGGTAACTTGAGGAGTATAGGTAAATGGGGAGTAAAGATGCTGGAGAGTATAGGCACTGGGGAGTATAGACACTGGGGAGTATAGATGACTGGCAGGCACTGGGAGTAGGGTACTGAGGAGTAGATGACTGGGAGAGTATAGGTACTGGGGAGTATAGACACTGGGAGTAGAGATGACTGAGAGTAGGTAACTGGGAGTAGGTAACTGGGGAGGCAGAGTGACTGGGAGTAGTAGGCACCGGGGGAGCAGGAACTGGATATAGATGACCGGGAGAGCAGGCAGGCAACATGAGGTAAAATGGGGAGTAAAGATGCCTGGAGTATAGGAAACTGGGGAGTATAGACAACTGGGAGTATAGACACTGGAGAGTATAGGTAACTGGGGAGTATAGGTACTGGGGAGTATAGATGACTGAGAGTATAGGTACTGGGGAGTATAGGTACTGGGGAGTAAATAGATGCCTGGATATTATAAGTACTGGAGAGGTAACTGGGAGTATAGGTACTGGGGAGCATAGATGCAGTGGGAGAGTATAGGTAACTGGGGAGTATAGGTAAAATGGGAGTAAAGCATGCCTGGAGAGTATAGGTACTGGGAGTAGACACTGTATATAGATGCCTGGAGAGAGGGACACTGGGGAGTATAGCTGGAGAGTATAGGTAAAATGGGAGAAGTGAATGATGAGTAGGTACCGGGGAATATAGATGCCTGGAGAGTGCAGGCACCGGGGAGCATAGATGCCTGAGTATAGGCAACTGGGGAGTAGGTACTGGGAGCAGATGCCTGAGTATATAGGTAACTGGAGAATATAGGCAACTTGGGAGTAAAGGTTACTGGGGAGTAGAGGTAAATGAGTAAAGGTAATTGGGAGAGGAAATTGGAGGACAGATGCCTGGGAGAGTATAGGTACTGAGAAAGCGAAAGGGCCTGGGGAGTAAAGGTACTGGGAGTGGCAGGTACCGGAGGATAGGTACTGGGAGTAGATGCTGGAGTATGTAGCAGGCAATGGGAGCAGAGCGAGAGTAGGCACTGGGGAGAGCAGATGCCTGGAGAGTAGTAGGTACTGGGGAGGCAGATGCCTGGAGAGTATAGGTAACTGGGAGAGCAGGTGGTACGTATATAGGCACCGTGGAGGCGGGGATGCCGGGAGAGAACAGGCAACTGGGGAGAGAGATGCCGGGAGGAGCATAGGCAATGAGAGTATAGATGCCTGGAGAGTATAGATGCCTGAGAGTATAGGCAACTGGGAGTATAGGCACTGGGGAGCATAGTAACTGGGGGAGCAAAGCCTGGAGAGTATAGGTAACTGGAGAGTAGGCACTGGGAGCAGGTAACTGGGGAGTATAGGTGGGGGAGTAAAGATGCCTGGAGAGGGCACTGGGAGAGTATAGGCACTGGGGAGTATAGAGCCTGGAGAGTATAGTACTGGGGAGTAGATGCCTGAGAGTATAGGTAACTGGGGAGTAGGATGCTGGAGAGTATAGACACTGGAGAGTATAGGGGAGAGGTAGGTAACTGGGGAGTATAGAAGTCCTGGAGAGAATAGGTAACTGGGGAGTAGTAGATGCCTGGAGAGTATAGGCAATGAGAGCAGGTAGGAAGGAGTATAGATGCACTGGAGAGTATAGGTACTGAGGAGTATAGACAACTGGATATAGATGCTTGGAGAGTAGAACTGGGAGCAGGTAACTGGGGAGCAGCAGGCACTGGGGAGTAAAGATGCCTGGGAGAATATAGGCACTGGGGAGTATAGGTAAAGGGAGCAGGTACTGGGGAGCAGGTAACTGGGGAGTAAAGAGCCTGGAGAGTATAGGGTACTGGAGAGTATAGGTAACTGGGGAGTATAGGTACTGGGAGTATAGATAGCTGAGAGTGAGTGGGGCACTGGAGAGTATAGGCACTGGGGAGTATAGATGCACTGGGAGAGTATAGGTACTAGGAGTATAGACAATTATATAGATGTTGGAGAGTATAGGTAACTGATATAGGTAACTGGGGAGTAAGACTGGAGAGTATAGGTACTGTATATAGGAAGGGAGAGCAGAAATTGGGGAGGCAGGCAACTGGGGAGTAAAGATGCCTGGAGAGTATAGGCACTGGAGAGCAGGTACTGGGGAGTATAGGTAACTGGGAGTAAAGATGCCTGAGTATAAGCAACTGGAGAGTATAGGCACTGGGGAGTATAGATGCACTGGAGAGTATAGGTAACTGGGGAGTATAGATACCGGGGAGTATAGCAAGCTGGAGAGTATAGGTACTGGGTATAGGTACTGGGGAGTATAGATGCCTGGAGAGTAAAAATACTGGGAGTAGAGAGACAAGCTGGGAGTAGGCACTGGGGAGTATAGATGCTTGGAGAGTAGTACTGGGGAGTAGGTACTGGGAGAGATGCTGGGAGAGTATAGGTAAACAAGAGAGTAGGTACTGGGGAGAGTAGACAAGCTGAGCAGGTACTGGGGAGGCAGATGCTGGAGAAAGGAGTAACTGGGGAGCAGGTACCGGATATATATGCCTGAGAGTATATATGCCGGAGTATATAGGCACCGTATGAATAGATGCCTGGAGAGCATAAGCAACTGGGAGTATATGTAATCAGAGTATAGGATGCCTGGAGAGTATGGCAGGACCGGGGAGCAGGTAACTGGGGAGCATAGATGCCTGGAGAGTATAGGTAACTGGGGAGTATAGATGCCTGGGAGAGCAGGTAACTGGGGAGGGTAGGTAACTGGGGAGCAGATGCCTGGAGAGAGTAGGTCTGGGAGCAGGACACCGGGGAGTATAGGTAACTGGGGAGTATAGGTAACTGGGGAGGCACTGGGGAGTATAGATGCCTGGAGAGTAGGCACTGGGGAGCATAGGTAACTGGGGAGTATAGGTAATTGGGGGAGAGCAGATGCCTGGAGAGTATAGGTAACTGGGGGAGGGGAGATGCCTGGAGAGTAGGGTAACTGGGGAGGCAGATGCCTGGAGAGTATAGGGACTGGGGATATAGGTAATCAGAGTATAGGTAACTGGGGGAGTAGAGGCACCGAGAGCATAGGATGCCTGGAGAGCATAGGTAACTGGGGAGCAGGAATCAGAGTGTAGATGCCTGGAGAGTATAGGTAAATGGGGAGTATAGGCAAATGGGGGAGTATAGGTAACTTGGGAGCATAGGCACTGGGGGAGTATAAATGCCTGGTGAGTATAGGTAACTGGGGAGCATAGATGCCTGGAGAGTATAGGTAACTGGGAGACAGTGATGCCTGGGAGAGCAGGTACTGGAGAGTATAGGCACTGGGGAGTAAAGGTAACTGGGAGTATAGATGCCTGGAGAATAGGTAACTGGGAAGTACAGGTACCGGGGAGGCAGATGCTGGAGAAAGCGTAGGGGAACTGGGGAGTATAGGTACTGGGGAGTATAGGTAACTGGGGAGAGTAGATGCCTGGAGAGTATAGGTAACTGGAGAGAGAGGCAAATCTAGAAGCAGTACAGGGTAACTGGGGAGTATAGGCAATGAGAGTATAGATGCCTGGAGAGTATAGTAACTGGATATAGGGCACTGTATAGGCAATCAGAGCAGGCAACTGGGAGCATAGACACCAGATATAGGTAACTGGGAGTATAGATGCCTGGAGAGTATAGGTAACTGGGAGTAAGCAGGTACTGGGGAGTATAGGTAACTGGGGAGTATAGGATGCCTGGAGAGTATAGGTACCTGGGGAGTAAGCAGGTACTGGAGAGTATAGGTACTGGGGAGAGGATGCCGGAGAGTAAGGGCACTGGGAGAGAAAACTGGGGAGTATAGATGAAGGGAGAGCATAGCAAATGGGGAGTATAGGTACCGGGGAGAGTAGATGCCGGGAGTATAGGCACTGGGGAGTATAGATGCTGGAGAGTATAGGTAACTGGGAGTATAGATGCCTGGAGAGTATAGGTAACTGTATATAAATGCCTGGAGTAGGTAACTGGGGAGTATAGATGCCTGGAGAGCATAGGTAACTGGGGAGTATAGGTAACTGGAGAGCAGAGGCACTGGGGAGCATAGATGCTCGGGAGAAAATAGGTAACTGGGGAGTAGAGGTAACTGGGGATATAGATGCCTGGAGAGTATAGGTAACTGGGGAGCATAGATGCCTGGAGGGCAGGCAAATTGGGGAGCATAGATGCCTGGAGAGTATAGGCACTGGAGAGTAGGTAACTGGGAAGTATAGGCACTGGGGGAGAGTAGATGCCGGGAGAGTATAGGTAAATTGGGAGAGTAGGCACTGGGGACAGTAGGCACTGGGGAGTATAGATGCCTGGAGAGTATAGGTAACTGGAGAGTATAGGTACTGGGGAGTATAGGTACTGGAGATAGGTAGCTGGGGAGTGGGCACTGGGGAATATAGATGCCTAGAGAGAAGCAAATGGGAGTATAGGTAACTGGGGAGCAGGGTAATCAGAGTAGAGGTAACTGGGGAGTATAGATGCTGAGAAAATAGGTAACTGGGGAGAGGTAACTGGGGAGTATAGATGCCTGGAGAGTTAGGGGTAACTGGGGAGCAGCAGAGCCTGGAGGCATAGGTAACTGGGGAGTATAGATGCCTGGAGAGAGTAGGTAACCGGAGAGCAGGACTGGGAAGTATAGGTAACTGGGGAGTATAGATGCCTGGAGAGAGTAGTAACTGGGGAGAGTAGGTAACTGGGGATATAGGTAACTGGGGAGTATAGATGCCTGGAGAGTATAGGTACTGGAGAGTATAGGCACCGGGGACAGGTAGGTACCGAGAGCAGGGCACTGGGGAGTATAGGTAACTGGGAATATAGATGCCCAGAGAAGTAAAATGGGGAGTATATAGGTAACTGGGGATATAGGCAATCAGAATATAGATGCCTGGAGACATAGGTAACTGGAGAGTATAGGTAACTGGGGATTATAGGTAACTGGGAGTAAGATGCCTGGAGAGTATAACTGGGAAGTATAAAATGCCTGAGAATATAGGCACTGGGGGAGCATATAATGCTGGAGAGTATAGGTAACTGGGGAATCTAGATGCTTGAGAGTATGGGTACTGGGGAGTATAGGTAACTGGGGAGTATAGATGCCTGGAGTATAGGTACTGGGGAGTATAGGTACGGGAGTATAGATGCCTGGAGAGTATAGGTAACTGGGGAGTGTAGATAATTATAGAGATGCTCGGAGACTATAGGTAACTGGGAAGTATAGGTACCGGGGAGAGTAGGTGCCTGGGGAGTATAAGCATGCCTGGGAGAGTATAGGCACTGCAGAGTGCGGGGCACCGGGGATATAGGCAACTGGGAGCATAGATGCTGGGAGAGTATAGGTAACTGTAATAGGCAACTGGGGAGTATAGGCGGGAGAGTATAGGCAAACTGGGGAGCAGTAGGTAACTGGGGAGTATAGATGCCTGGAGAGACAGCACTGGGGAGTAGATGCCTGGAGAGTATAGGTAACTGGGGAGCAGGTAACGGGGAGAAGCAGGTGGGAGAGTATAGGAACTGGGGAGAGTAGATGCTTGGAGAGTATAAGCAATTAGGAGTATAGGTACTGGGAGTAAAGATGCCGGGAGAGTATAGGTACTGGGGAGAAAGATGCCTGGGAGAGTATAGGGACTGGGGAGAGCAGGTACCTGGGGAGTATAGATGCCTGGAGGTAGGTAACTGGTGAGTAGAGGCACTGGGGAGGCAGATGCTGGAGAGTATAGGCACCGGGGAGTATAGATGCCTGGAGAGAGCAGGCAATCAGAGTATAGATGCCTGGAGAGTATAGGCACCGGAGAGCAGGTAACTGGGGGAGTATAGGTACTGGGGGAGTATAGGTAACTGGGGAGTAGAGATGCTGGAGTATAGGTAACTGGGGAGCGAGATGCCTGGAGAGTATAGGTAACTGGGGAGTAGTAGGTACTGGGGAAAGCGATACTGAAGAGTATAGTAACTGGAGAGCATAGGCAATGGGAGTAGATGCCTGGAGAGTAAGGCACTGGGGAAAGAGTGCACTGGGGAGTAAAGATGCCTGGAGAGCAGAAGGCTGGGGAGAGATGCCTGGAGAGTGAGAGGCACTGGGGAGTATAGATGCCTGGAGAGTATAGGTAACTGGGCAGATGCTGGAGAGTGTAGGTAACTGGGGAGTGGCAGATGCCTGAGAGTATAGGCACTGGGGAGGCAGGCAACGGGGAGCATAGATGCCTGGAGAGTACAGTAACTGGGGAGCATAGATGCCTGGAGAGTATAGGTAACTGGGGAGTATAGATGCCTGGAGAGTATAGGTAACTGGAGAGAGCTAACTGGGAGTATAGGTACTAAGTAGGGTAACTGGGGAGTAGAGATGCTGGGAGAGTATAGGTACTGGGGAGTTAGGATGCCTGGAGAGTATAGTACTGGGGAGTATAGGTAACTGGGGAAGCAGATGCCTGAAGAGAGAAGCACTGGAGAGCATAGGCACTGGGAGTATAGATGCCTGGAGAGGGCACTGGGGAGTATAGGTAACTGGGAGTAAAGATGCCTGGACAGTATAGGTTACTGGGGAGGATGCCTGGAGAGTATAGGTAATTGGGGGAGTATAGATGCCTGGAGAGTATAGGTAACTGGGGAGCAGGATGCCTGGAGAGTAGGTAACTGGGGAGTATAGATGCTCGGGTGAGCAGCAGATAACTGGGGAGTATAGATGCCTGGAGTATAGGGCAACTAGGGAGTATAGATGCCTGGAGAGTATAGGTAAATTGAGGAGTATTGATGCCAGGAGAGTATAGGTACTGGGAGTATAGATGCCTGAGAGTAGCAGGAGCCTGGGGAGCAGTAGATTGGAGAGTAGTAGGTAACTGGGGAGTAGGTAACTGGGAGTATAGGTAACTGGGGAGACAGATGCCTGGAGAGTATAGGCACTGGAGAATATAGGCAACTGTGGGAGTAAAGGTAACTGGGGAGTAGAGGTAAATGGGGAGTATAGGTAACTGAGGATATAGATGCCTGGAGAGCAGGCACTGGGGAGTATAGGTAACTGGGGAGTGTAGATGCCTGGAGAGTATAGGTAACTGGGGAGTATAGATGCCTGGAGAGTATAGGTGGCCAAAGTGAGGAATATGCCCTGGAGAGTACAGGCAACTGGGGAGATAGATGCCTGGGAGAGTATAGGTAACTGGGGAGCATAGGATGCCTGGAGAGTACAGGCACTGGGGAGTATAGATGTCTGGAGAGGCAGGAACTGTGAGTATAGATGCCTGGGAGAGTATAGGTACTGGGTAGTATAGGTAACTGGGAGTAGAGGTAACTGGGAGTAGGTACTGGATGTAGAGCCTGGAGAGCATAGGTACTGGGAGAATAGATTAGAGTATAGGTACTGGGAGTAGGTACTGTGGAAGTATAGATGCTTGGAGAGTATAGGTACTGGGAGTATAGATGCCTGAGAAAGCTTAGGTAACTGGGACAGATGCTGGAGAGTATAGGTAACTGGGGAGTATAGGTAAATGGGAGATAGGTAAGTAGTAGCATACTGTAGTAAATCGGGGAGAGTAGGTAAGAGAGCATACTGTAGGCAATGGGAGTATAGATAAGCAAGAGCATACTGCAGGTAACTGGGGAGTAGAGGGAAGTAGGAGTATACTGTAGGTAACTGGGAGTATAGGAAGTAAGAATATACTGTAGGTAACAGAGTATAGGTCAGTAAGATTATACTGTAGGTAACTGGGGAGAGTAGGCTGCAAGAGTATACTATAGGCACTGGGAGAGTATAGGTAAGTAGAGTTTACTGTAGTAACTGGGGAGTATAGGTCAGTAAGGGTATACTGAAAGTAATTGGAATATAGGTCAAGAATATACTGTAGGTACTCTGGGAGTATAGGTCAGTAAGAGTATACTGTAGGTAACGGGGAGTATAGGCAGTAAGATTATACTGTAGGTAACTGGGGAGATAGGTCAGTAAGGGCATACTGAAAGTAACTGGGAATATAGGTCAGTAAGAATATACTGTAGGTAACCTGGGAGTATAGGTCAGCAAGAGCATACCAGAAGTAACTGGGGAGTAGGTCAGTAAGATTACTGTAGGTAACTGGGAGAATAGGTCAGCAAGAGCATACTGTAGGTAACTGTGAGTATAGGTAAGTAGGTGTATACTGTAGGTAACTGGGGAGTATAGTATGTAGGGAGTATACTGTAGGTAACTGGGGAGTATAGGTCAAGAGACACTGTAGGTAACTGGGGAGTATAGGTAGTAAGATTATACTGTAGGTACTGGGGAGAATAGGCTGGGTAAGAGTATACTGTACTGTGGAGCAGGGGTAAGTAGGTGTATACTGTAGGTACTGGGAGTATTAGTATGTAGGAGCAGTGTAGGTAACTGGGGAGTAGAAGTAAGAGTATACTGAGGTAACTGGGGAGTATAGGCTGCAAGAGCATACTGTAGGTAACTGGGGAGTAGGCAGCAAGTGCATACTGTAGGTAACTGGGAGTATAGGTAAGTAGGTGTATACTGTAGGCAACTGGGGAGTATAGTAAGCAGGAGTATACTGTAGGTAACTGGGGAGTATAGGTCATAAGAGCATAACTGTAGGTAACTGGGGAGTATAGGGTAAGAGTATACTGTAGGTAACTAGAGAATAGGTAAGTAGGAGTATACTGTAGGTACTGTGGGAGTATAGGTCACTGATGTATAGATGCCTGAGAGCATAGGTAACTGGGGAGTATACTGAGATATAGGTAACTGGGGAGAAAAAAAAAGAGCATAGATGACTGGAGAGGCAAGTAACTGGAAGTAAAAGATAAACTGGAGAGGCAACCGGAAAGAACAGGCAAAACAAGTTGGAGATATAGTAACTGGGGAGTATAGAACTGGGGAGTATAGGTAATCAGAGCCTGGGGAGTATAGGCACCGGGGAGTATAGGCAACGGGAGTATAGGTAACTGGGGAGTATAGATAACTGAGAGTATAGGTAAATTGGGCAGAGAAAAGGGAACAGGTACCTGAGAGTATAGACCGGGAGCAAGATTGGAGAGACGGAGATAGTAACTGTATATAGGTAACTGGGAGTATAGGTACAGGGAGTATAGGTACTGGGAGTATAGGTACTGGGAGCATAGGTCAAAGAGAGCAGGTACTGGGGAGTATAGGTACCGGGGAGTAGGTACTGGAGAGTATAGGTACTGAGAGTATAGATACTGGGGAGTATAGGAACTGGGAGCATAGATAACTGGGAAGAACTGGGGAGTATAGGTAACTGGGGAGGGACACCAGGTATGCATAGGGCAGAGCATAGGCAACCAACAAGGTAACGAGTAGGTAATCGGGGAGCACAGGCACCGGAGAGTATAGGCAACTGAGGAGTACAGGTAACTGGGAGTATAGGTAACAATCTGGGGAGCATAGGCACTGGGAGAAAGATAGAACTGGGGAGAAGGTAACTGGGAGAGTAGTAACTGGGGAGTACAGGTACCAGGGAGAGATAATACTGGGGAGTAACATGGAGAGTATAGGTACCGAGGAGAGCAGGTACTGGGGAGAGTAGGTACTGGGAGAATAGGATGCCGGGAGAGTATAGGTACTGGGAGAAGTAGGTAACTGGGAGTATAGATGCTTGGAGAGTATAGGCACTGGGGAGCAAGATGCCTGGAGGAATCTGGGGAGCAGGACAAATGGAGTATAGGTAACTGGGGAGTTAGGCAACTGGAGCAGAAAATAGGTAATCTGGGGTAACAGAGTATAGGTGCCTGGAGAGTATAGGCAACTAGGAGTATAGGTAACTGGGGAGTATAGATGACTGGACATAGGTAACTGGGGAGTATAGCAATGAGGAAGTAGCAACTGGGGAGCACAGATGCATGGAGAATAGGTACTGGGGAGTATAGGTAACTGGGGAGATTGAGCAGGGAACTGGGGAGTATAGGTAACTGGGGAGAACAGATGCCGGGAGAGCAGGTAACCGGGCAGTAAAGATGCCGGAGAGCAGGGCACTGGGGAGTATAGGTACCGGGAGAGTAGGAACCGGGGAGCAGGTAACTGAGAGCAGGATAACTGGGAGAGTATAGGTAACGAAGCAGGTACTGGGGTAACTGAAGAGTATTAGATACCAGGAGCATAGGCAACGGGGAGTATAGATACCTGAGAGAAAGAGAGCAGGTGGGGAGTAAGATGCCTGTAAAAGGGCACCGGGAAATGGGGAGTATAGGCACCAGAGTATAGGTACTGGGAGAGTATATGGTACTTAGGAGTATAGGTAAATGGGGAGTAAAGATGCTTGAGAGTATAGGAACTGGGGAGCATAGTAACTGGGGAGTATAGATGACTGGCAGGTACTGGGAGTAAGGTACTGAGGAGTAGATGACTGGAGAGTATAGGTACTGGGGAGATAGACACTGGGAGTAGAGATAACTGAGAGTAGGTAACTGAGAGTAGGTAACTGGGGAGAGATGTAACTAGGAGTAGCAGGTACCGAGAGCAGGCAACTGTATATAGATGCCGGGAGAGTATAGGCAACATCAGGTAAGGGAGAGTAAAGATGCCTGGAGAATAGGAACTGGGGAGTATAGATAACTGGGAGTATAGAACTGGGGAGTATAGGTAACTGGGGAGTATAGGTACTGGGGAGTATAGATGACTGAGAGTATAGGTACTGGGGAGTATAGGTACTGGGGAGTACAGAGATGACTGGAAGTAAGTACGGAGAGGTAACTGGGGAGTATAGGTACTGGGGAGTAGATGCTGGAGAGTATAGGTAACTGGGGAGTATAGGTAACCTGGGAGTAAGACAAGCCTGGAGAGTATAGGTACTGGGAGTAGACACTGTATATAGATGCCTGGAGAGAGGCACTGGGAGTATAGCTGGAGAGTATAGGTAAAATGGGAGAAGTAACTGTGAGTAGGTACCGGGGAATATAGATGCCTGGAGAGGGCAGGCACGGGGAGTATAGATGCCTGAGTATAGGCAACTGGGGAGCAGGTGACTGAGAGCAGATGCCTGAGATATAGGTAACTGGAGAATATAGGCAAATTGGGAGTAAAGGTTACTGGGGAGTAGAGGTAAAGAGTATAGGTAATGGGAGAGAAAACTGAGGCAGATGCCTGGGAGAGTATAGGTACTGGAAGCGATAGGCCTGGGGAGTAAAGGTACTGGGAGTGGCAGGTACCGGAGGACAGGTACTGGGAGTAGATGCTGGAGTAGTAGCAGGCAATGGGAGCAGAGCGAGAGTAGGCACTGGGGAGAGTAGATGCCTGAGAGAGTATAGGTACTGGGGAGGCAGATGCCTGGAGAGTATAGGTAACTGGGAGAGCAGGTGTACCGATATAGGTACCGGGAGGCAGAGATGCCTGGAGAGAATAGGCAACTGGGGAGAGAGATGCCGGAGAGGAGCATAGGCAATCAGAGCACAGATGCCTGGAGAGCATAGATGCCTGAGAGTATAGGCAACTGGGAGTATAGGCACTGGGGAGTATAGTAACTGGGGAGCAAAGCCTGGAGAGTATAGGTAACTGGAGAGCATAGGTAACTGGGGAGCATAGGCAACTGGGGAGCATAGGTAACTGGGGAGCAAAGATGCCTGGAGAGTGTAAGCACCGAGAGTATAGGTAACTGGGGAGTATAGATGCCTGGAGAGTATAGGTAACTGGGGAGTATAGATGCCTGGAGAGTATAGGTAACTGGGGAGTATAGATGCCTGGAGAGCAAGGATGCTGGAGATAGGCACTGGGGATATAGGTAACGGGGAGATAGAAGCCTGAGAGAATAGGTAACTGGGGAGTATAGATGCCTGAGAGTATAGGCAACGAGGGAGTATAGGTGCTGGGGAGTATAGATGCACTGGAGAGTATAGGTACTGAGGAGTATAGGTAACTGGGGAGTATAGATGCTTGAGAGTATAGGCACTGGGGAGTATAGGTAACTGGGGAGTATAGGCACTGGGAGCAAAGATGCCTGGAGAATATAGGTAACTGGGGAGCAGGTAGCTGGAGTATAGGCAACTGGGGAGCATAGGTAATCAGGGAAAGATGCCTGAGATATAGGTAACTGGAGATATAGGTAACTGGGGAGCATAGGCACTGGGGAGAAGATGCCTGAGAGTATAAGCAACTGGAGAGTATAGGTAACTGGGGAGTATAGATGCACTGGAGAGTATAGGTAACTAAGGAGTATAGATAATTGGGGAGAGAGATGCTTGAGAGTATAGGTAACTGGGGAGTATAGGTAACTGGGGAGCAAGATGCCTGAGAGTATAGGTAACTGGGGAGTATAGGTAGCTGGAGAGTATAGGTAACTGGGGAGTATAGGTAACTGGGGAGTAAAGATTGGAGAGTATAGGTACTGAGAGCATAGGTAACTGGGGAGTATAGGTAACTGGGGAGTAAAGATGCCTGGAGAGTATAAGTAATGGAGAGTATAGGTAACTGGGGAGCATAGATGACTGAGCAGGCACCAGAGAGATAATGGGAGTATAGATGCTTGGAGAGTATAGGTAATGAGAGTATAGGCACCGGGGAGCATAGATGCCTGGAGAGTAAAAATAACTGGGAGTAGAGATGCCTGGAGAGTATAGGCAACTGGGGAGTATAGATGCCTGGAGTATAGGTAACTGGGGAGTATAGGCACTGGGGAGTATAGATGCCTGGAGAGTAGGTAATTGAAGAGTATAGGTAATGTATATAGATGCCTGGAGAGTATAGGTAATTGGGAGATGCCTAGAGTTGAAACTGGGGAGAGGTAACTGGGGAGCAGGCACTGGAGAGTATATATGCCTGAGTATAGGTAAACTGGGGAGAATAGATGCTGAGAGTAGGGCACTGGGAGCAGGCGTAACTGGGGAGCAGATGCCTGAGAGTATCGGTAACGAGTATAGGTAACTGGGGAGTATAGATGCCCGGGAGAGCATAGGTATCTGGGGAGCAAGATGCCCGGAGTATAGGTAACTGGGGAGTAGGTAACTGTGAGCAGGATGCCTGGAGAGAAAACTGGGGAGCAGATAACTGGGGAGCATAGGCACCCTGGGAGCAGGGTACCGGGGAGTAGGTAACTGGGGAGTATAGATGCCTGAGAGTATAGGTAACTGGGGAGCATAGGCACTGGGGAGTATAGGCACTGGGGAGCATAGATGCCTGGAGAGTATAGGTAATTGGGGAGGAGAGATGCTCTGAGATAGTAACTGGGGGAGTATAGATGCCTGGAGAGGCATCTGCGATATAGGTAACTGGGGAGCAGGTAATTGGGAGTATAGGCAATTGGGGAGCAGATGCCTGAGAGTATAGGTAACTGGGTATAGGTAATTGGGGAGTGTAGATGCCTGGAGAGTATAGGTAAATGACATAGGGCAAATGGGGAGCAGGCACTGGGGAGCATAGGCAATCAGAGTATAGATGCCCGGTGAGCATAGGTAACTGGGGAGTAGATGCCTGAGAGTATAGGTAACTGGGAGTATAGATGCCCTGAGAGTATAGGAACTGGAGAGTATAGGCACTGGGGAGCAAAGGCACCTGTATATAGATGCCTGGAGAGAATAGGTAACTGGGGAGTACAGGTAACTGGGGGAGATAGATGCCTGGAGAGTATAGGTAACTGGGGAGTATAGGTAACTGGGGAGTATAGGTAACTGGGGAGTATAGAGCCTGGACAGTATAGTAACTGGAGAGTAGAGGCAACTAGGAGAGTATAGGTAACTGGGGAGAGAAAATGGGGAGTATAGATGCCTGGAGAGTATAGGTAACTGGGATATAGGCACTGGGGAGTATAGGTAACTGTATATGGCACTAGGAGTAGATGTCTGGTGAAGGTAACTGGGGAGTATAGATGCCCGGAGAGCATAGGCACCTGAGCAACTGCATACAGGTAACTGGATATAGATGCCTGAGAGTATAGGTACTGGGGAGTATAGGTAACTGGAGACAGGTAACTGGGGAGTATAGATGCCTGGAGTATAGGACGAGTATAGGCACTGGGGAGTATAGATGCCTGGAGAGTATAGGCAAATGGGAGTATAGGTAACTGGGGGAGAGCAGATGCCTGGAGAGTATAATGCACTGGGAGTAGATAACTGGAGAGGCAGGTACTGGGGAGTATAGATGCCTGGAGAGTATAGGTAACTGGAGAGGCAATGCCTGAGAGTATAGGTAAATGGGGATTATAGGTAACTGTAGGTATAGGTGGCTGGGTATTGTTAACTGGGAATTATATTCTATTGGGAATTATGTATAACAGGGAATTATAGGTAACTGTGGATATAGGTAATTGTGAAGTATAGGAACAGGAGTAAAGTTACTGGGGATATAGGTAACTGGGAATTATGGTAACTAGGAGTATAGTTAACTGGGGAGTATGATAGTGGGAGTATAGGTAACTGGGAGTATTGGTAACTGTATAATATAGTTAACTGGGAGGATAGTTAACTGGGTAGTATAGTTAACTGGGGAGTATAAGTAACTGAGACATAGGTAACTGGAAGTATAGTTAACTATGGAGTATAGGTAACTGTGAAGTATAGGTAATAGAATTATAGTTGACTGGGAGTATAGTGGCTAGGAAGTATAGTTAACCATGGAGTATAATTTAGAATATGAGGTATCATTGAGAATATCAACAAATTATAGTCTCGAGTCTAGATAACTGGAAGTATAGGCAACTGGAGTATATAGCTGGAAGTATAGGTGTGGAGAATGTATTCAGGTATGGGTAACTGGGAGTATAGGTAACTGGTGTAATTGTAAAACTTATGTAATTAATAGGAGTGTGACAGAGATTATAGTGCTAAAATTTAAATGAAGAGAGTATAGGTAACTGTGGAGTGGTAACTGGGGTATAGGTAACTTAGGAGTATAGGTAACTGGCAGTATGGGTAACTGGCGAGTATAGGTGGCTCAGGGAATATAGGCTGGCAGTATATGAGTAACTGGGAGTATAGGTAACTGGCAGGTATAGGTAACTGGAATTATGGGTAACTGGGGAGTGGTGAATTAATGGAGATGTGTAAGTGTGCAATTACTGGGGAGTATAGGTAACTGAGGGTGTGGGTAACTGGGGAGTATAGGTAACTGGAGTATGGAGTGGCAGAGGTATGGGTAACTGGGGTATGGTGGCTGGAGTATAGGTAACTGAGATGTGGGTAACTGGAGGTATAGGTAACTGAAGTGCATGGGTGTGGAGTATGGGTAACTGGAGAGTATAGGCAACAGAGTAACATGGAGTATGGTAACTCAGGGAATGTATGGTGACTAGGGTATGGGTAACTGGCGAGATGTGGGTAACTGGGAGTATGTGGGCAACAGGGGTATAGGTGGCTGGAGGTATAGGCAACAGGGGTATAGGTAACTGGAGTGTGGTGGCAGGGTGGTGGCTGGGGTGTGGGTAACTGGCGAGTGTGGTGGCCTAGTGCTGGGTAGGTCTGGGGTGTGGAGGTATAGGTGGCTTCAGGGGTATGGGCACAGGAGTATGGGTGGCAGCAGTATGGTGCTGGAGATATGGAGTGACTGGGGGTATATGGGTGACTGGGAGGTATGGTGGCTGGCGGTATGGTGGTGACTATAGGCAACAGGAGTATAGGTGGCACTGGCGTTGGTGACAGGTGTGGTGGCTGGGGTATGGGTGGCTGGAGAGTGCTGGTGCTGGCAGTATAGGTATGGGTACCAGTGCTGGGGTATGGGTAACTGGCGGTATGGGTGACTGCGATATGGGTAACTGGTGGTATATAGGCAACAGGAGGTGGGATGGAGATTGGTAACTGAGATATAGGTAACTGGGGAGTATAGGTAGCTGGGAGTAGGCAGCAGGAGTATGGTGGCTGGAGTGTGGTAACGGAGGTATAGGTAACTGGGATTATAGGTGGCACAGGTGTGGTGGCGGAGATATGGGTGGCTGAATGACAGGATTATGGGTAGCTGGGAATTATAGGTGGCTGGAGTATGGGTGGCGGAGGGTATAGGTAACAGAGGAATTATGGGTGGCTGGAGTATAGGTAACCAGGGTATAGGTAGCTTGGGGTATAGGTGCACAGGGAGTATGGGTGACTGGAATTATGGGCAGCAGTTATAGGTGACTGGGGTGTTGGTGGCGGAGGTGTAATTGACTGGAGTATAGGTGGCTGGGTATGGGTAACGGAGGTATGGGTGACTGGGGTATGGGCACATTGGGTGGACTGGAGTATGGGTGGCTGGGTGTGTGGAATTATGGGTGAAGCAGTGGATGCTGGGATTATGGAGTAATGTGACAATGATTGCTGGTGGCTGGGTGTGGTATGGCAGAGTGTGGCTGAGATTGTAACTGGGATTATGGGTGACTGGGGGTATAGAGTGGCACGGAGTTGTGGTGGCTGGGGTGGGTAACTGAGATTGGGTGGCTGTGGGTCTGAACTGGGATTATAGGTAACTGGGGTATGGTGGTGGGGTAGGTGGCACTGAGATTATAGGTAACTGGGGAGTAACTAGTATTGCTAGATAACTGAGGGTATAGGTAACTGTGGAGTATAGGTAACAGAATTATAGGTAACTGAGGTATAGTTAACTGGGGAGTATAGGTAACTGGAGATCATAAGTAACTGGGGTATAGTGGCTGAGATACAGTGGCTGGGAGTATGGTAGCTGGGAGTATAGTTAACTGGGGGTATAGATTAACAGGGGTATGATTAACTGGGAATTATAATTAACTGGGAGCATAGTAACTGTGGTGCCGTGGGAATAAGTCGGGAATTGTAATTGAGAGAATGAGTATAGGAATGTCAGTGTGAGTATAGATAACTGGAGAGTATAGTTAACTGGGGAATATAGTTAAATGGGGATTAGGTAAATGTGAGTGTATGGGTAGCTGGGGTAGAGTTAGAGTGGGAGTATAGTTAACTGGGGTATAGTTAACTGTGGGTATATTTAACTGGGGAGTATAGGTAACTGTGGGTATAGGTAACTATGGTATGGTAACTGGGAAATATAGTTGACTGGGGAGTATAGGTAACTAGGAATTATAGGTATCTAGGGGGTATAGTTAACTGGGGAGTATAGTTAACTGGGAAGTATAGGTAACTGGAAGTATAAATTAAAATGGGAAATTATAGTTTACTGGGGAGTATAAGTAAATGGGAAGTATAGGTAACTGAGTAATATAGGTAACTGGGGAGTAAACGTAACTGGGGAGAATTGGTAACTGTGGATTACATTTACCTGGGGAGTATACGTAACTGTGGAGTATTGGTAACTGTGGTGTATTGGTAACTGGGGAGTATAGGTAACTGGGTAATTATAGGAAACTGGGGAGTATAGGTAACTGGGGAGTGTACGTAACTGGGATATATAGGTAACTGGGAAGTATGATGTAGGTTTACTGAGGAGTATATATAAGCGGAAGTATACTGTAAGTAACTTTGGAGTATAGATACCTGGGGAGTATACTGTATGTATGTAGAGTGTATTTGGAGAATATAATTATTTTTTTTTACAGGGATTAATAGTACAGGGCACTAACCCGCATCGGGCCTGGGGGGAAATGTAATAATAATAATAATAATGACAATAATAATAATAATAATAATAATAATATGTATGTGTGTGTGTGTGTGTGTGTTGTGTGTGTGTGTGTGTTGTGTGTTGTGTGTGTGTGTGTGTGTGTGTGTGTGTGTGTGTTGTGTGTGTTGTGTGTGTGTGTGTGTGTGTGTGTGTGTGTGTGTGTGGTGTGTGTGTGTGTGTGTGTGTCTGTGTGTGTGTGTGTGTGTGTGTGTGTGTGTGTGTGAAAATGTGATATGATCAAGATTGAGAACAATATTTGTATGTTGTGTTGTTAATAGTAAGAGAAACAATTGAGACAATGCAATCGTGTGTAAATGAGGCAGGAAGTCAGATGAGCAACCTGGGACTTGGTCTGATTTTGTGATGCCATATGGCAGTAGAGTATACTGTAGGTAACTGGGGAGTATAATGTAGTAGGAGTATGCTGTAGGTAACTGGGGAGTATAGGTAAGTAGGAATTATGCTGTAGGTAACTGGGGGGAATATGAAGTAAGTGAGGGATTATGCTGTGAGTAACTGGGAGTATAAGTGAAGTAGGGTATGCTGGCAGGTGACGCAGGATTATGGGTAAGTGGGGTATGCTGTAGGTGACTGGGTATGGGTGAGTGGGGTGTGCTGTGAGTAGCTGGGGGTATAAGTAGGTAGAATTGTGCTGTGGAGTGGCTGGGGAGTATAAGTAAGTAGGGTAGTGCTGTGTCATTGACGCAAGTTATGGGTGGTAGTTGTGCTGTGGGTGACTGGGTGTAAGGTGGTGGGATTATGCTGTGGGTGGCTGGGTTATGGGTGGTGAGAGTTGTGCTGTGGGTGGCTGGGGTATGTGGGTGGTGGGGTATGCTGTGGGTGGCTGGGGTTATGGGTGGGGTACAGGATTGTGCTGGAATGACTGGGATATGGGTGAGGTGGGATTATGCTGTGGATGTCGGGATATGGGTGGTGGGGTGTGCTGTGGGCTGGGGTTATGGGTGGTGGGGTTATGCTGTGGGTGACTGGGGTTATGGGGTGAGTGGGGTATGCTGTCGTTGGCTGGGTTGTGGTAAGTGGGTTGTGCTGGCCGGGTGGACTGGGTATGGGGAGTGAAGTGGGGTATGCTGTGGGTGGCTGGGTTAAGTGGGTGGTGGGGTCATGCTGTGGGTGGCTGGGATTATGGGTGGTGGGGTGTGCTGTGGGTGGCTGGGGATGGGTAGAGTGGGTGTGCTGTGGTGGCAGGGGTGTGTGGGGTGGGGTATGCTGTGGTGGCTGGGGTGTAGATTGAGTGGGATTATGCTGTGGGTGACTGGGTGGAGTGTGGGTGAGTGGGGTGCTGTGGGTGGCTGGGGAATATGGGTGAGTGGGGTGTCTGTGAGGTGGTGCAGTGGGTTGCTGGGTGGCACAGGGTGTCAGGTGAGTGGGTATGCTGTGGGTGGCTGGGGTATAGTGGTGGGATTATGCTGGCTGGTGAGGTGTGGGGTGGTGGGTGTACTGTGGTGGCTGGAGTGTGGTGAAGTGGGGTGTGTGGGGCAGCTGGGGTGTGGGTGAGGGATTGTGCTGTGGGTGGCTGGGGTCTCGTGGTGGTGTACTGGGGTGGCTGGGGATATGGAGTGGGGTAGATTGTGCTGTGGGTGGTGGTGGGGTATGCTGCAACTGGGGAATTATGGGTAAGTGGGGTATGCTGTAGGTGGCTGGGGGTATGGGTGAGGGGTGTGCTGTGGGTGGCCTGGGGTATAGAGTGGGGTACGTATGCAACTGGGGATGGTGAAGTGGGTATGTGGGTGACTGGGGGAATTATAAGTAAGTAGAGGGTATGCTGTGGTGGCTAGAAGTGTAAATGGGTGTCTGTAGGTGGCTGGGGATATGTGAGTGGTGTATGCTGTGAGTGGCTGGGGTGTAAGTAAGTGGATTATACAGTGGAGTGTAAGTGAATGAGAGATTATGCTGTGAAAACAGCTGGGGGAGATTATAGGTAAGTAGGGTATACTGTAGGTAACTGGGGTGAGGTGGTGAGATCCTGTGGTGGCTGGGGAGTATAGGTGAGTAGGAGTATACTAGCAGGTGGCTGGGGAGTATGGTGGTGGGGTATGCTCTGGGTGGCTGGAATTATGGAGTGAAGTGAGGGATCATCACTGTGGGTAACTGGGAATTATGGGTAAGTAGGGAATTATGCTGTGGGTGGCTGGGGATTATAGGTAAGGAGAATGCTCTGGGTGACTGGAGTATAAGTAAGTGGGGAGTATGCCAGAGGTGGGGTGGGGAGTGGTGCGGTGTCACTTTGGGTGGCTGGGGTGTGGTGGGAATTATGCTGTGGGTAACTGGGGTATGGGTGGTATGCTATTGCTAAGTGCTGAATATTAGTAAGTGGGGAGTATAGAAAAATGGAAAGCATAGGTAACTTGGGACTATATATAACTGGGGAGTATACTCTAGATAATTGTGGAGTATAGATACATGGGGAGTATAGGTAACTGGGGAGTCTAAATAACTGGGGAGTATACTGTAGTTAACTGGGGAGTAAGTTAGTATGCCTGGGAAGAGTGAGAACATCTTCCATAATAAGACCTGTACAGAACTCACCTGCCAAGAGAAGGGTTGTCAGCACTTCAGTGGCCGTCAACAGCTCAAAGAGACGACTAGGGTTCATGACTCACGTAGCAGCCGTCCTGTTCTGCGGGTAACAAGACCAAGTCTTATGGTTAAATATAAACGCGAGGTGTGTGTGTGTGTGTGTGTGTGTGTGTGTGAAAGAGGAGACACTAAGATCGATCGCCAGAGAGAAAGAGGGAGAGGGGATTGAGAAGAGTGAATAGAGATGTAAGAAGGAATTGGGGAAAAAGAGAGAGAAAAAAAAAGATGGTAAAATGAGAAAGAAATATTTTAAGCAGAGTTTTTATCATGGAGTAGTCCACAGATAGAAACTTGTAGCAATAATAATAATAATAATAATAATAATAATAATAATAATAATAATAATAATAATAATAATAATAATAATAATAATAATAATAATAATAATAATAATAATAATAATAATAATAATAATAATAATGTATCACCAGAGTCACTTAATATGACTCAAGCTCTAATGTTTGAGATTGAGTTATGTATACGGCTTGTATACAGTGCCCAGTGATACACACCAACCCATCCATTGTTTGTCGGCTGTTACTTAGCACCAGCAAAAGTATCCGGGATTTTTTCTTAAGCTAGGATTCCATTCACGCGGTAGCGTTAGCACCAAAGATAGATCACATTGAATTGTCCACGGTTGTTTCCAGTGGTACGGTGGCGGTAGCGTTAGCGTTATAACTAGGCTTAGGATAATTATGCATTTGCATATGTGCATATGCAAATGCATATTTAAGCCATTTTTGAGCTAAAGTGCATTTTCATATTTTTTTGGTTTTATAAGGCATATATTTGGAAAATTCCAAAATATTATAAAACATTCTTCAACCTCAAGGGTCAAAAAATTCGCGAGCATAACAGCAACGCTGGGGCAGAAATTACTGATATTTGAAATATAATATATGTCCATTTTGTTGCACTAATACAAAATCGAAAATACGCGATTTTGTTTTAGCGTCATAATATCCAAAAGGAACATACTTAAGTGACGTTTATATAGCTCAACATTAGGCTGTGGTTAGCTAGGCCGTGATTGGCTGGTCAGTGGACATGAACTGTACGTGATGGGTTCGTGTTCAGCCAGGCAGGGTATAGTGCACGGGCTCCCTCGGCTCCTGACACTCTTTTGTTCTTCTGTTTTCTTAAAAGGGAAATACTTTTTTCAGTATTGTTTAATAAATTACTTTATGTCAGTATATTGTTTTTTGTATTTAATCGTTCTTTAAAAAATCCTACTTCGGCGACATCCTGTCTGGGAAAGTAAATTTACTGAGAAAATGTACAGAAAAGGAATTATTAACTTAGTAGTTATTATTTATTAACATATTTTAAAGTGCATATTTTCTCACTTTTTACTGCATATTTGCATGCATATTTAGCCATTTTTAAATGCATAATTATCCTAAGCCTAGTTATAACTTTGCAGTACATGCCAATCGCTCCCAGTAGCGATGGAAAAGTACGCGAGAATCCCTCACTGTGACGTCACTACCCCTGTGTTTTCTCTCCTCACCAGCAAAATGCCTCTAGGAAAAAAAACTTCCTATCGAGGAGACTGAGAAGTTGATTTCGCTCAGAATATATCTCAACCTGTTTTTGTAATGCATTTATATAATATATTTAAAACCTTTATATATCATTTTACGAGATCCATACATTGTTGACACAACTGTTTTAAAATGAAGGTTCGTGGTTTCAATAAAAGGTTTACTGGAATGGTAATTTTTGCGTCACTTAATATTTATCTACGGTTTCTATTATTTCCTATTTATAAGCAAGTCGCTGCCTTGCGCAAAGGACTTCTCTGTTCCTACAGTGTTTTCCCAAATTCTCCTCAACCATGGAAAGAACATGTGCGAACTGTTGTCGGCTCAAACGAAAATATTCTTAGAATTTTTCTTCGTTCAAGCTTAGGTCTTTTACCAGAGTATTGTAGGCTCCATATTTGGTCCGATTCAGCAGCATTCTATGAACTCACCATCTACAGTATGTTTCCCTTGTCTGTTTTTCCATTGATATAAGCATGATCTTATACAAACCCAGGATGTGTAATAGCAAATCATCCTGTTCATATAAATAGCGTAGTAGCTTCGATGCACTAGGACCCATCTTTCCTGTCCTGGTCCCTCTAGAAACACAGCTGCATTGCATATGAAAACGGGTGTCCGTTTTTTAGGCCAATGTAACGCAAACGCATATATGGAAACCTAGCTTTATTTGTTTATTCATCTTTATTTTAGTTTTTTGTTTTGACGGAATTAATGTTAACTAGAATGGTGTAGCCACAACATCCCCACAACACCTCACGGTTCACCCAGGAGGATCACTTCCTAGGATGTAGAGCGGCAGCAACATCGACTATTGCAGTCCTTGGCCAAAATTTTAGCTACCTATCTTAAAAATTCTTGGTGGTGCATAGCAAGAAGACATACAAACAGACTGACACTGTCTTAGATATTAGATTGATTTAGTATTTAGGTCTTAAGTCTCGTGGTTTATGCAAATTATATTGCACTTTCTAAATTAGATGATCTCCCATCAATCACATTTCAGGACGCAATCATTCTGCCAAGCTCTAAAATAGATATGCTAGGTCTCACTATTTCCTCTAATATGTCACGGAAGCCACACATCCACAACATTGCTAAAGCTCCCTCCCGAAAGCTGGGAATGTTGTACAGATGATGTAGCTACTTCACTCCTGAGTAGTTGCTTCAAGTATATAAGGGATTCATTCGTCCTAACTTGGAGTACTGCTCTTCTTCTGTCCAACTGTTAGATAGGGTGGAATCAAAGGCATTTCGTCTTATTAACTCTCCTCCTTTAGTTGATAATCTCTCTTCCCTTTCTCTTCGCCGCAATGTTGCTTCACTCTCTCTCTTTTACAGGTACTTTAACGAGCAATGTTCGGTGGATTTAACATCCTGTGCACAGCCGGCAAGGCAATGCTCGTAACTCTCGTCTTGCCTGCGGTGCATAACGTTTCTCTGTGGATGTCGGTCACACTAGAATAACCCGTTATAGTACAGTACACCCTTCTTTCCTCACACAGCCAAACTGTGGAATGCTCTGCCTTCTTCTGTGTTTCCATACTCATACAATCTGTCTCACTTCAATAAGCTGGTTTTCCGGCATCTTCGTGGTGTAGACTAATATAATCTGTTTCATTTATATTTTTAATTTCTTTTTACTCTTATTTTCTCGCCCCCTAGACCCCGTTAAGGGTCGATGACCTGTGCCCGGGTGGGCTATTCATCGTAAAAAGAAAAAAATATATAGTCCTCATAAATGAGAGAATCCATTAGGCATACGTACAGTACATCAAATTACACACACACACACACACACACACACGAGCACGAATTGATCGCTATAGGAACAGCCCAGTCCCAACCATTGTAAAAATTATCAATCACTTGTAATCAACCAGTGTATTCACTCCCAGTAAATCTTACTTTTTGCACTGTCACTATGTTGAAATGCCCTGTGGTTTGAGCTTCTCCCCCACCTAATTATTATATATCATATTTGTATCACTTATGTTTCTTATATATTATTTGTAAATCAAGAGACCCATTCCCCAATTATGTAACTGTATATTTTCAGCCTTCCGGCTGCTATGTTCTTTCAATAAACCGTTAATTATTATTATTATTATTTTTATTATTATTATTATTATTATTATTATTATTATTATTATTATTATTATTATTATTATTATTACACACACACACACACACACACACACACACACACACACACACACACACACACACACACACACGCACACACACACACACACACACACACACACACACACACACACACACACACACACACACACACACACACACACACACACGCACTTATAGAGCAAGAATAAGGGAAAAATCTCCCTAAACCTGACTAAATTACAGTAGGCGTGACGCTGAAGGACCGAACTATTTTTAAAAGTACTAATTTACTCTATCAGACCTTGCTAAAAATACCCTTTCATAACTCTAAACGACTCGACAAAACTATATCCTGTCCTTCTTAACTCTAACAGGCTCTACTTAACTCTAACAGGCTCTACTTAACTCTAACAGGCTCTACTTAACTCTAACAGGCTCTACTTAACTCTAAGAGACTTAGATTAGCTCCAACTATATCAGGTGTAGCTTAATAAAGCTTACTGAACCTTAACAGTGCCTAGGCAACCTTAAGAGAACCTACTGAATCTTAACAGAGTCTATAGAACCGTAACAAGCCTATAGAATCTTATATTCTATAAAACTTTAACAGAGCCTACTGAGGCTCAAACGAACCGATAGAACCGTAACAAAGCCGAATTATTATTATTATTATTATTATTATTATATTATTATTATTATTATTATTAGTATTAGTATTATTATTATTATTACACAAATATATAAATTTAATTTGACTAGCATTCTCGCACACTCTGATACACACACAATGATAATTGTTGTCCCTTGTGTACGAGGATGGATGGCCCTAGGGCCATCTACACGAAAATTTGTTTAAGGTGTAGAAGCTGTCGCCAACACAACAACCACACCCTGAGTTAACGAGTTGAATGACCCAGTGTCAGGGAATAGTCCGAGTAGGCCGAACAACTCGCCAACTGCACTGGCTAACCATTACCCCGGAACACGATCCACGGACTGATAACATCCAGGTTCCCATTTAGTGCTGGGTAGAAAGAGGCAATTAGTGCAATGAAGCTTGTCCATAGTTTCACCCTTCCTGGGGATCGAACCCGGCTCCACTCGCTTGCGAGGCGAGCATGCTGAACATGACATCACGAGTCACCAAACACACACACACACACACACACACACACACACACTCTCTCAGAGAGACGCACCTTATGATCACCATTGTATTTTTTACTGTATTCTTACATATTGACTGGTTGTATCCTACTTTTGTGTGAAAGCCCTACTCCACCCTCCATGCTGCCTCTCTCTCTCTCTCTCTCTCTCCCTCTCTCTCTCTCTTCCTCTCTCT